GAAATCATTCAAGAAACTTCCCTCATCTCATCAAGGATGAAAAAATTCAAACACAAGAGATTCAGAGAACCCCTGCAAGACAACAAATGGGAAGACCAACTCCCAGAAACATAATAATTCACCTAAACAAAGGAGCTATAAAAGAAAAAATCTTAAAGGCAGCAAGAGAAAAAGGCCAAACTACCTACCAGGGAAGACCAATTAGAATAGCAGCAGATTTATCCACAGAAACCCTTGAGGCTAGGAGAGCCTGGAGCTCTATCTTCAAAGTTCTAAAAGATAAACAATTTCAACCAAGAATAACCTACCCAGCCAAACTAAGTTTCATTAGTGAAGGAGAATTGAAATCTTTTCCAGATATCCAATCCCTAAGAACCTACACTGCCACCAGACCACCTCTACAAGAAACACTTAAGAAAGTACTGAACACAGAAGAAAAAGAAAAAAAAAACAACATTCTTCACAAGAGTACAGGCAAAAGATTAAAAACACACATGAGCCAACTCCAAAACCCAAAGAAAGACAACAAACAAACAGGAACACCTCTCTAAGAACCTTATGACAGGGATCAACTCTTGCATTTCAATTATTAGCTTAAATGTGAATAGACTAAATGCACCACTGAAAAGACACAGAATGGCAAAATGGATAAAATATCATCAGGCAACAATCTATTGCCTTCAAGAGACTCACCTCACTAGAAGGGACACCCACAGACTCAAAGTAAGAGAATGGGAAACAAACTTTCAGGCAAACGGAATACAAAAGAAAGGAGGAGTAGCAATCTTAATTTCAGACAAAATATCCTTCAAGCTATTAAAAATCAAAAAAGATACAGAAGGCCACTACATAATGATAAAAGGCTCAATTCATCAATAAGAAATATCTATCCTAAACGTATATGCACCCAACATAGGTGCACCAACTTTCATAAAGCAACTTCTAGGAAAACTAAAGAAAGATACTGACTCTAACACCATCATAGCTGGGGACTTTAATACCCCATTCACAACCCTAGACAGATCATCAGACAAAAAATCAGCAAGGAGATCCGGAACCTCAATATGACTTTGGACCAATGGACTTAATTGATACCTACAGAACACTCCATCCAAAGACCACAGAATATACATTC